TGTGAGTCTTTGTTGTTAATCCACAAATTTTAAATCAGTACCAAGTACATGCTTGTTTTTCCATTCGTGTGATATTAGGAGAGTGTTCTCCAAATCTATCCAAGTTGTACAAAAAGGATACAAAATCTCTATCATTTTTATGACTGAATAGTATTCCATGGTATACATATACCACAGTTTATTAATCCATTCATGTCCAATTTGGGAATATTTTAGCAATCTCAGACAGGGCTGAAGAATGACAGCTTCCTCACCCCATGGAATGAAACAGAATGGGCTATTTGGAGAAATTCTTTGATCATACCTTAAACCAGGGAACTACTTTTCCTCATTCTGTTCTACAGGGGCCCTTGTGTGTTCCTGACAAATTAAGTCAGCAAGGTGTTTTGATTACTGCACCTCATTCTTCCTTAATTAGAGAAAATGTTACAAAAGTTGTTTTGTAGTTTAAACTCCATCAGAGCACCACATGGGCTTCCAGGAAATGAGAACAACACAGAATAATAAATTTTAGCAGAAATGAAAGTGTATTGTACACTGTTTAAACTTCTCTGTGTTTTATTTCCTTATCTGTAAATTGGGAATAATAAATGTACCTGCCTCATAGAATTATAGTGAAGGTTGAATTAATCCACATAAAATGCTTAGAATTGTTCCTGACACGTACATGTTGGTGTTTGTTTTGGGGGTCATGTGTCTTACACAGCGTTAGTCACCACTCACTATATGGTTGTGTCCTGCGTGTGACATTTGTTCACCTTTTCCTTCCCTGTACCCAGGCCTTGCTCAGTGCCCATGACACAGTAGCTCAGAAAGATTTTGAGCCCCTACTTCCTCCACTGCCAGACAACATCCCTGAGAGCGAGGAAGCCATGAGGATTGTTTGTTTGGTGAAAAACCAACAGCCCCTGGTAAGGAACTTGTCTTATCTTTTCATTTAGAATCGCACCAGGGTTAACTGTGAACTAAGTTACATCTCATACTTACTTAGGCAATGGTCTGCAGTCACATACAGGAAAAGACTTGAGAAATTTGTGGAAAACTGAAATTAAAAGATTAAAAAATAAAAAATATAAACCTTATTTCTCGTTCTAAATGCCATCAAGTTCAAGATACTTTTGTAGGCGGTGCTAACAGCCATTAGTCTATCCCCAAAGTACTAAGGGTCCTGGATGTTTAGCCATGTCAGTGCAGACTTTTTCACATTACCTGAGGAAGTATGCCTTTAAAGATTTTTTTAAGAGTAGGAAACAAAGGAAAGTCGAAAGGACCCAAATAAGAACTGTAAGGTGGATGCCTAATGATGTCTCACAAAATTGTTTTTTTTTTTTTTTGTTTGAGAGGAATGAGTAATAGCATTTTCGTGATGGAGATGAACTCTCAGGTGAAGCTTTCTTGGGGATTTTCCTGCTACAGTTTTAACTAACTTTCTCAAAACACTCTTATCATAAGCAGATGTTATCATTCTTTGGCCCTCCAGAAAGTTAACAGGCAAAATGCTCTGAGTCTCTTAAAAAAAAAAAAATACAAAAAAACACCAGAAAACCTTGCTATAACCTTTACTTGCTTTTACTTTGATTGGACCCCTCCACCTCTTGGTAGCCACTGCGTTGATTAGACTTCGTCTTCACGATCATGCTGGTAAATCCATGTTTCTTTCCTGGTACAACTCTTCAGAGAAAGGCTTCAGCATTGTGATTCACTTGTTCAAAGTTTTCATGGAAAGCTCTGCGCTTGTCTGAAGCTCATCTGGGGACGATGGTTTTGGCACCCAGCGAGTGCCAAACAGTTTGCTCAACATAAATTTTTCAGTCAGAATTATGTAAGCCGAACCAAACTAGATCCTGTTCATGTTGTAACAAGTTAGCATTCGTTGTTTTTGGTGCAAAAAAAAAAAAAAAAAATTTGAAATCCATCCATAGTTTTTTCATCATACCCATTTTCCACAGACTTTTTGAAGTCCTCTCATACAGTGATAGTAATGTGTGTAAACTGTATGACTTTTGCCTGTGACTTCAAACTTGTTTCATGTCATAATGTTTTCACTCACAAAAGATTTCTGCTTAGCATTTTTCTTTTTTGAAAATAAGACAAGACTTAAGAGACTTGTGTGAGAAACAAGCTGCATGTATTTTGTTTTACTTGGCTCTCTGACATGTGCATTTATTTCACTCCCTTCCAATGCATTAGCCTAAGTTTTTCTCCTCTCTGAGAAACTAAGTAAGGCATTAACTTTATATCCTAAGGGTAGTCCTTTGATTAGCTTGTAACTGTGGGAGCTTTCTTTATCTTTAGAAGGACCTAATTTTTCTTTTTTTTATGTCTATGTGATTGGATTGAGAACTTAGAAGCCAAAGCTGCATGCCCTTTGCTTTTAATGCCATAATATGACAGATAGGCCTCAGTGCACTGTGTGGTCCCCCTCTCCCTCCCTGGTTGGTATAAATATCCTCATCTGAAAAACCAGAGCTACACTGAGAGAAGCCACCAGAAGAGTGGTCAAGTGAGGTAAAAGAGGGATTTTTTTTTTTTTTTTTTTTTAGAGACAGAATCTCATTTTCTTGCTTTCTGTAGAGCACTGTGACATCATAGCTCACAGCAACTTCGAACTCTTGGGCTCAAGTGATTCTCTTGCTTCAGGCTCCTGAGTAGCTGGGCCTACAGGCGCTCACCACAACCCCTGACTATTTTCAGAGACAAGGTCTCACTCTGGCTCAGGCTGGTCAGGAACCTGTGAGCTCAGGCAATCCACCCTCCTTGGCTTCACAGACCGGTAGGATTATAGGAGTGACCCAGCACACCTGGCCTGTAAAAGAGGAATCTCTTTGTGTTCTCTCTCCAGGGAGCCACCATCAAGCGCCACGAGATGACAGGGGACATCCTAGTGGCCAGGGTCATCCATGGTGGGCTGGCCGAGAAGAGTGGTAAGCTGGAGTAGTAGAGAACAGTGTCACTAGAAAAATAGGAAATGTTTGATTATTTAATCTTCTTTCCAGAGAATCCCTACTTTCCTAACTTGGGTCAGGGTTTTGATAAGTTGTACTGCTTGACTAAAGCAACAAAGAAAGAATATTCCAGAGAAATCTTACTCCCCTTCCCTTATAGGCACCATGTTAATGACCTCTCAGTTTGCCTCCTCATGGCAACCTCATGCTGTCTTACAAATGAGGAAACTAAAGCTCAATGAGAGTAAGTAACTAACTTGCTCAAGGTTACACAGTTTGGGTTAGAATTTTAGTCCAGGTCTGCCTGATTTTATATTCCCAGCTTTTTCTCCTCACTTAGTCCTTCTACTTTCAAAAAGGCATAGCTGTTGGGCAGTGCCTGTGGCTCAAAGGAGTAGGGCACTGGCCCCATATGCTGGAGGTGGTGGGTTCAAACCCTGCCCTGGCCAAAAACTGAAAAAAAAAAAAAAAAGGCATAGGTCTTCCCCATCTTGAAAACCCTTTTGCTAAATCTTTCTACCAGTCAACCAATTTTTCATTCTTTCACTGCTGTGCTTCTGACATGAGTGATTATCTACCTGTCACAATTCCCCACCTCCCATAGGCCCTGAAACCTGGCACACAGTTTATGCCTCAGCATTCTTATAAATACCAAGGATGTCCTAACTGCAAACTAAATCCATTGACCCTTCCTTCCTCCTCGGTTTTATTCCTACTTCTCTACACAGTTGATACTGTTGATACCTTTCTTGCAATTTTAATCATCCTTGGTTTCTGTTGCATGATCTTACCCTGCTTCTAGTCTGATTGCTATGACAACTCCATTCTTTTACTCATATTTGTCAAGGCTTAATCTTAAATGCCAAGTTTCTCCACATCCCTCCCCCATTTTTTTCTCATTGATCATTTACTTATGGCCCTGATATCTTTGTTTTGACTGCCAGTGTTATGATTTTGTTTTATAGTATCAGAATAGCAAAAATAAACATATCACAATCAGTTAACACCAAGTGCTGGTGAAGAGGTGGAAAAATGGAATGCTTACACATTTCTGGTGGTAGTGTAAGTTGGAATAACCAGTTTGCTTTATAATGATTATTTTACAGTACATTTAAAAACTTTACAGCAGACTTGGGTCAGTGAATTTGTTCAATATCTACTGGAATATCTACCTCTCTTTTTTGTCCTATTTCTTTGTGTCCTTTGTTTTGTGTTCCTATTTGCATAGGGTTGCTGTATGCTGGAGACAAACTAGTGGAAGTGAATGGAGTTTCAGTGGAGGGGCTGGACCCTGAACAAGTGATCCATATTCTGGTAACAGTCTTCTCTCTGCTTTTTTGTTTGTGACTTAGTGAAATTCCAAGGCTGCCCTAGGACCATAAAGCCCACGTGTGTGCATTGTAATGTGACGGTGATTTGAGTTCTCTTGACAGCTTCCTGTCTCCTACCCCCCAGGCCTGTCTGTCACCATGCTGTGTGGTGACCTTCCTCCTCTGCTCCCCCAGAAGTTTCCCCAGCTGGGAAACTTCCCTCCCCAAGCTGCTCTTTCAGCCTCAGGGAGATTGCCAGGTCCCCCAGCTCAGCTCCCTCATCACCTGGGTTGCTCCATTGGAAACTGAGCCCAGGGTGGGCAGAGTGAGACTTTAGAGAAGCTTTGGAGCAGAGTCAGAACCTGAGCAAACCACCCCTCATTCACCTAATGTATCAATATAGCTGAAACCTGTCCAGGCACACTGGCTCATACCTGTAATTCTCTCTCCTCTGGGAGACTGAGGTGGGTGGATTGCCTGAGCTTAGGAGTGTGAGACCCTGTCTCTTCTAAAAAATAGAAAAACTAGCTAGGCCTACTGGCAGGTGTGGGTAGTCCTAGCTGTTCAGGAGGCTGAGGCAAGAGAATCTCTTGAGTCCAGGAGTTTAAGGTTGCTATGAGCTATGATACCACAGCACTCTAGTCTAGGACAACAGAGTGAGACTCTGCCTCAAAACAAAACAAATGAACAAACAAAAAACAGCTTAAATCTGTTTAACATCTTCCTTGAGCACAGCTTTGGGGGAAGAAAGTAGTCATCAGATGGCAGCTTATATGGAGGGAGACATCCTTAGTGGCTCTGCCACTGTTCCTTGGTGGCTGGAGCTAGGGATTGATAACCTGATTATATAAGACATTGGGCTTGCTCAGGTTCCCACTCCTACCCCTCAGCTCATTCCCCGAATCATAGTTCAGTTGTTAATAGCCATAGCAACATGCCCCCCACCTGTCTACACCCACGCACATCCCAAGTGTGGAGCCCAAGGTTGATCACTATATATTATGTAGACTAGAGGTTCTCAAACTGGGCTCCCGAGGGAACTCGAGGTTTTCACAATGATGGCTTAGAGACTAAGGTAAGGGATTGTACATACTATAAGGAATATAGCAAACACCTAAATATTTTGCAAGCCACTGATGCAAGATTCCTTGTGTTATGCAAGGTGCTACAAAAACAGCTTGAGGGAGTGTGAGTCACAGACATGCCCACCCCTATTTCAGTCCTCCCTTCTGGTGTCAGTTGTCGAGTTGCCAAGACAGTGGGATTGTGAAATTCCTAAGAGTAAGAATAGGGTCTTGTTAATTTCTAGATCATTACTGCCTGTCACAGTGTATGTAACAAGGGATTCTACCTCTCTCTTAGGCTGGCAGATTCTTTGTCTCTCCCTTCACTCTGAGGACTCTTCATTGCCACCATTAGTTTGGAAATTTGTCAGTTCTCCCAGAAAATTGGATCCTCTCTTCTTCCCCATCAGGGGTATCTTGTACAGAAACACGTTCAGTAAATGCTTTCTGCATAATTAGTGAGGAGGGAAAGCTAGAGAGAGAGCTCTCATCTCTTCCCCAGGGCCTATGGGAAGAAGACTTTGCTGGGTGGGTATTTCTATTGGCAAGGAGGTGGAGGGTTCCTGGAAGAGGCCACCTCAGTGTATATTTTATCAGACCAGTTACCCCAGAGTCCCACAACGGGGCAGAAGCAGAGATACATTGCTTCCTAATTTCCATTTCTAGATGGTGACAGGTAGCTATTGAACCCTATGGAAGTCTCTGCAGGGGATGTCACCATTAGACCTGGACAGGTTCCATTGTAACCCCATCTACCAAGCCCCAGTAACCCTATTAGTTCTGTGATATGTCATCTGTGTCCCTTTCTCATTTCCTAGGCCATGTCTCGAGACACAATCATGTTCAAGGTGGTTCCAGTTTCTGACCCTCCTGTGAATAACCAGAAGACGGTAAGAATTTACTGAGTCTTTAATCTCACATACAGTATCCCGTATAACAATAACAATGGCTAAATGATACTATCCTCTACACTTACCCTGTGTTGGACATGTGTTCAACACTGTTAGGTGTTTTTCAATGCTGATGACCTGAAAGGCAAAATGAGTAAATGAATAAGGGAAAAGGAGGTGGATACTAAGATGTCAAGAAACAACATCAAACATGGTGACAATATGAGCAAAAACTTCTCAGAGATTCTATTCCTAAAGACATTTTTTTTCATGGCACTTAGATTCAGTTCAGGAAGCAAGTTGTCTTTTTCAGTGCACGTGGAGAGTAAAGACTGGAGTGGTAGAGAAGTGGGAGAAATGGTTTTAAGTAGTGACAGCCCATGGGCTAGGGTTCCTCTGATGGCATCATTATGCACCTTCTGATGGCACCATTATGCATCTGTCGTCAGGTGTACGTTCGTGCCATGACTGAGTACTGGCCCCAGGAGGATCCCAACATCCCCTGCATGGACGCTGGATTGCCTTTCCAGAAGGGGGACATCCTCCAGATTGTGGACCAGAATGATGCCCTCTGGTGGCAGGCCCGGAAAATCTCAGATCTTGCTACCTGTGCTGGGTTAATACCTTCTAAACAACTTCTAAAGAGGTAAGAAAAGTCATCACTCTTGGACTCAGGCCTGGGCTATCAGGAAATAAAATGTTTTCTCAGGCTTCTGTTACTACAGTTAAGATGAAATAAAGGAGAGGAACAAATGAATGAATGAACACACACAAACTGATTTATAAATCCTAATGTCAACTTGCTGATACACCCTAAGCATCTTAAAGCCACAGGGACCTGAATAACCATATCAGCTAGAAAAGAGAGAAAAGTGTTTGGAAAAATAAATTAAACTTAAAAGTGCTATTGTCTGAATGTTTATATCTCCTGCCAAATCCATATGGTGAAACCAAATTCCTAATGCAATAGTATTAAGAAGTGGGGCCTTTAAGAGGGCTCCATCCTTATGAATTGGATTTGTGCCTTTATAAAAGAAGCCCATGGGAGCTTGTTTGGCCCTTCTACCATACGAGGAGTCAGCTAGAAGTTTCTGTCTCTGAAGTAGAGAATGCACCCTCACAAGATACCAAATCTGCTAGCATCTTGATCTTAGACTTCCCAGCCTCCAGAACTGTGAGAAGTAAATTTCTGTTGTTTATAAACTATAAAAAAACCTCCTGCTATTTTGTTATAGCAGCCCAAACAGACTAAGATTAAAAAGCTGTAATTTTATTGCTCCTTCAAGCCTGAGTTGAGATTTCAGACTCTCAACCCACACACTTGCCTTAGGTTACTGAGGTCTGCTGAGGTCACAGAGGGAGTGAGTGAAGATAGGAAAGAGAAGAATCCAAGCTTCTATCAGTGTTAAGAGATCGAGAAGAAAAAGACCAGCAAAGGGACGCTGAGAAGGAATGACCAATGAGGCAGGATGAAAATCAAAACTATTTGGTGTCTTCCTGAACAACGTCAACTTCTACTGAGAAGGTCAAGGATTAACCATTAACCATTAGATCTTGCAACATGAAGGTCATTGATGATCTTGAAAAAAGCAATCTCAGTGGAGGGGTGGAGCCAAAATCCTTATTAGAGTGGGATTTGAATAAATTGATGATAGTAAGGATGGTAAACCCTCTGAGACATTTTGGTACAAGTAGAGCAATGGAGAAATAGCTAGGGGGAAAAGTGGAAGAACATGAGAGAAATTTTTAGATTAGGTACATCATGCTGGTAGGAATAATATAGTGAGAGGGAAAATTTTTATGATACAGGAGAAAGAGAAGAGAATTGCCATTGTTGATGCCCATGAGCAGGTAGAAGGACACAGATGAGTTGGCCTGATGTAGAACCACAAGCAGTTCACCCTTAGCAAGAGTAGCAGGAGGGAAGTACACAGGCACCCTGAGGGTAGAGGATGTGGTGGAAGCCTAGCGGTGTTCTCTTCCAGATTCTTTTATTATCTTAGTGAAATGAGAAGCAATGCCATAAGCTGAGAGGAGGGTGGCTAAGGGGATGTCAGGAAGGAGAGAGCGGAGGGCTTGAAAATTCCCACAAGAGCTGGAGAGCAAATGGATTAGGCAAATATAGGATGATCAGCATTAAGGGTCTACTTAAGTTAAAGGTCATGGATGTGAAGTGACTCTGAGTACAGGTCCAAATTAGATAGAGGGCTGGATTTAACAGCAAATCAAGAAAGGGCCAAGGAAGTGGTTATGAGGATGGACCGTGCCATTTAAGCTGTTAAGAAGAGAGACCAGGAAGTGAGGCAGGTAAGGATCAGTGAGAAGGAAGTAAGATCAAGGGATGACAGGTCCTGGGGGTGGGAAGAAGAGAGGAGCTGGTGGGAGAAAGGAATGCTAGAAATTGGAATTAAGGAGAGATGGCAGTATGACAGTGGGAGGAGCGGCTGAGAGAGGAAGAGGGGAAGGTCACTGGAAAAGAGGAGGTCAAGCACTGGAGGGACCCAAATGGAAGAGGCATCTCTGTGTTGCTGAAATCATCGAGAATTACAAATGAATAATGTTGAGAGTGCAGAAGAGGCCTGGTGATGGCGACCTGGTAAGATAATATTCAAAGCTGGGGGCTCCTCGGGAAGAGGGACAATGACCTGGAAGTGACAATGAGAAGCAAGGACACACATCCCACTTCCAGGCACAGTAGGATGAGGGCGTGTGCAGGGGCGTGCTGCAGCCCTCTGTGGCATCTCTCTCACATCCACGTCCAGAGAAGGCAGAGTGGTGGCTTGAAATCAGCCCCAGTGAGAGTTCGGACACTACGGAAATCACCAACAGCTGAGTCAGCGCTCCCTCCCCAGGGCTGGCTCACCAGCACATGGCTGGGAGTGGGAGAGGAAACAGCCACTTCTTGAAAGCTGCAGGGGGAGCAGGGACCTCAGGGAGGGCCGGGTTTCACTGAGAGCAGGAAGGTGAGTGGCTCCAAGGAGAGGCTAAGGCCTGAGAGTTTGCTGAAGCTTTGCCGTGTGATCCAGAGGTGTGTGGAAGGGTTCAGGGAGAGGTGGCCAGGGCCTTATAGGGATTAAAGTTCAGGGATAAGGGATGACCTGGGCTTGGGGACTGAAGGACATGAACAGGGATAAAGGCCTAATGAGATTAGTCCTCAGGGTTTCAGGGCAGAAAGTGGTGAGGAGGCTCAGGTGGTGGTCTTGTAAAGAATGCACAGAATTATGGGTTTATTGGGTTAGGAACAAATAAAGGACAGGGGAAAGTTGTCATGCTGTTTTTAGTACTTGCTACATGCAAATATAATATGATAATAAGAACATAAACAGTTTCATTTAGGAGCACTATGTCAACAGCAGAGTCTACACAAATGTCTTTTTTTTTGAGACAGAGCCTCAAGCTGTCCCCCTTGGTAGAGTACAGTGGTATCACAGCTCACAGCAACCTATAACTCCTGGGCTCAAGCGAGTCTCCTGCCTCAGTCTCCCAAGTAGCTGGGACCACAGGCACCCACCACAACGCCCGGCTATTTTTTGGTTGCAGCCATCATTATTGTCTGGTGGGCCAGGCTGGATTCGAACCTGCCACCTTAGGTGTATGTGGCTGGTGCCTTAGCCACTTGAGCCACAGGCACCAAGCCTACACAAATGTCTTATCAGAGACAATGAGAGAAGGTACTTCATGTTCCCCTGACTCTCAGTCAGAAAACCAGGAGGGCCCTTAAAGGACTAGAAGAGAATTTTTGAAATCAAATCCATTGTCACATCTTTGCAAGAGGTCTGCCCAGATGACAGACTGAAAGTCACTAGTTTCTCAGAGCCTTGATAAATGAGACTCTTGATATCTGCAAGTAATTTTTCTCTCTTCCCAGGTAAACTTCACTGTGAATAAAAATTAATGGGGGTGGGGGTGGGGAGGAATCTTGTTAAAATACAGATTCCTGGGCCCTATTCCCAGAGAATCTGATTCAGTGGATCATGGACACAGACCAGGAACCTGCAGTGTATCTAAGCCCCTCAGGCACTTCCAGTAAGTGTGTGAAGAGCAACATTGTACTAAGGAACAGTGGCTGAGCAGATAAAACACTTCTGTGCTCTTTATAAGATGATAGATCTTTGAATCAAAGTAGCTGGGGGTTGTTTTGTTTTTTAACTTTCTACAGGTAGAAAATCAGATCTGATTTTAGAGGAGTGTGAAAGAATGGAGAGAAAGGTCTCTTCTAAAAGGGCATCTTCATGGAGAGTAACACTGATCTGAAGGAGTGCAGAATAACTCTACACAAACTGCGGGAGTTAGAGGTTGATGTTTTGTGCTAAAGTAGCAAATATTTTTGGCACGAAGATATGACTTGGGTGTAAGGTGAAGACATACAGGACATCGTTTGCAAGAATGAAAAACCAAGAGCTCCCAGAGAAGACGGGGGTGGGAGGGTGGAAGGGCGGGACGTGAGAGGATGCAGGGGTCTAGCCTAAGGAGCGAGATGAGAGATACAGATGGAGAGACAGGCAGAGAGATCATATTGGAGGGTGACTAACCAGAGAGTGGCCCGGGAAAGTGCACAAGGCTAACGATCAGGAAACAGATACTTAGTGGGCCATCATCTAAGAAGAAATCAAGACCCCAGGCGCCCAGCCTGCATGTACTGTGAATTAAAGTACCTTAATTATGCAGTGGATATTTTTGGAAGAGTACCCAAGAAACTGGACAGATGGGAGGGAAGAAGCCTTACTAATTTATATTGTTAAAATTTTTACTATTTACCTGTATTATTGCTTCAAATAATTAATGAATCAGAATGCCTTGCATGTCTATGCTAATTAAGAATTGAAAGTAAGGTTATACACATTATTCAGTCCCCAAAATACCTTCAATATACACTAGCTCCATTGCATAAATGGGAAACTAAGTTTCAGAAGTGAGGAGATTGTCTAAGATCTTAAGGAAGGGAAGCAAGATTGGAACCCAGGTCTGTTACAGCCCTGTCTGTCACTTTCAAATTATATCACAAATGTGTCATGCTGCTAACTGTTCAGCCTCACCACTCTGCCTTTGACTTCCTTGAATCCGTTTCCTTATTTCTGTAGTTAGGAAAACGGACTGACTTGATCCTCCTTTCGGCAGAGTGTCATGGCATCACAGCTTACAGCAACCTCAAACTCTGGGGCTCAAGGCATCTTCTTGCCTCAGCCTCCCAAGTAGGTGGGACTACAGGTGCCCACCACAACACCTGGCTAGTTTTTCTATTTTTAGTAGAGATGAGGTCTCACTCTTACTCAGGCTGGTCTTGAACTCCTGAGTTCAGTCCACCTGCTTTGGCCTCCTAGAGTGCAAGGATTATAGACCCAGCCAACTTGATCTTTCTTCAACCCTAATGTGAATTAGAATTTTTACTCTTTTTTTTTTTTATCAACTTAATCTAAGTGTGCAGGGAAAGTTTAAGCATAGGTTCAAGTGTATGTGAGATAAAAAAGGTTGAAAAACCCTGCCCTAGAGAATCAGAGGCTGGAGACCTGGGGACCCAGAAATCTGCATTTTAACATCTCAGATGTCCTCCAAAGTTTGAGAAAAGATCAACTAGATTAGTGCTTTACAAACTTCATTGTGCACGTGACTTACCTGGGGTCTATAAAGAAGATTCCATAGAATTTGTAAGGTTTGAGGTGAGGACTGAGATTCTGCATTTCTCAAAGGACTCCCAGGCAAAGCTGATGCTACAGGTGGGAACCACAAGTTGAGTAGCAAAGGACAGAAGCGCTCAAGATCTTCTCTTGCTCTAAACTTCATAGTGAATAAGAGAGAAAGAAGAGCAATTTTGCTTAGAAAGTTGCTTTGAAGCAGGCAAGGAAAGGAATTGTTGTAAGGGGACCCATGGGAAGAGGAATAAGTCAATAGAGATTTCAGGGGCCAAGAAAGGTGAGGCCTTGCCCTGGAGCCCAGGAGGTGCTAAGATCACAAGAGGAGCTGAGCATCTAAAGGAGCTGTAGAGACGTGAACAGTCTCAGCGGGAAACCTGAGTATGCTATGAGAATTCTAACAAGACCACTGAGACAGGCTGCCATGGTCAAAAAGCAAATTACCATAGATCATTGACTCAAGTTCTGTGCACTTGAACTTGTAGTCATGGGCCAGACTGTCACTCTGTACTCCAAAAAGAGCCTGTGAAGCAGAGGAGGTGATGAAAAAGGCTATGTGTTTGGGAAATGTGCCTTACAATGTCATTGGAGCAGAGATCACCCTTTTTTCTTGGATGAAGGCAACAGAATTCTAGACAGCATTCTTTTTTGTGGTTATCCAGGGTCTTTGTCACCTGGGTTAACCTGGTTGTTTTTGGGTTTTTTCTCAAAGTGTATTTCTTTTTTGTATAGGAAACAAAGGGAATTCTGGTGGTCTCAGCCATACCAGCCTCATACCTGCCTCAAATCAACCAAATGTGAGTATGTGGCTGACTCAATTTCAACATGTGTACATCCTGGAGAAGCCTGCTCCCTCTCTCCTGGGGCTGGATCTCCCTTCTGCTCCCACATTATCTCCCTCGAAGCCAGCCATTTGAAGTCCTAGCAAAGACATTCATTCCTTGGGATTTAGAAGAGTTTTCAGTATATGAAGATGCAAATGCTCTTGTGTTTGGAACACGTTAAGCCATCCCTCCCTAACTTAGAGTCCTCCATGATCGGTGGAGCTCATATGTGCACTATTGCAGAGACTGGCAAAGATGGCTGCATAGCCACACGAGCCTACACTTGGGTTCTATCAATTCAGAGGGCTTAATTTTCACTCTATTTAGAAGCACGGAATGACAGTTGTGTGTGCCTTTGAGGAATAAATATGGGACTCAACTATTACTGCATTAGTGCAGTTTGATTGTTAGACAATATTATTTAATTGCAGTGGGGTTGGTTAATAAAGGGCACCTTGGTGGTAAATGCTTATCAACTCCTTACTGCCTTAGAAAAGGCTGCTACAGCTTGGCAGAGCCCAGCTGGAAAAAACTGAGTGAGGCCCTTCCAAAATGGCCTGCAGGAAGCCTCTGGAAAGGAGTTAAGGAAGGGGACAGGGCAACAGGAGGAGGGAGGGGACACAGAGAGAAGCCTGGAAGGACACTAAAGTAGATGATAGTGCCAATTTTATAGATTTACCCATGGCAAGCCCTCTTTCACATTATTATTTTTCACTTCTCTAAGCTGAAAATTACTTTTCCTTTGATTTCCCTATTGAAAAAATATGATGGGCTGAGTACGGTGGCTCATGCCTATAATCCTGGCACTCAGGGAGGCTGAGCCAGGAGGATCATTTGACCTGAGGAGTTTGAGACCAGACTGAGCAAGAAGACCTGATCTCCACAAGAAAATAGAAAAATCAGCTGGGTGTTGTGGCAGGCACCTGTAGTCCCAGCTACTCAGGAAGCTGAGGCAGGACAGTCGCTTGAAACCAGGAGTTCAAGGTTTCTGTGAGCTAGGCTAGTGCCATGACACTTTAGCTGGGGTAATAGAGTAAGACTCTGTTTCAAAAAAAAAAAGAAAGAAAAGAAAGGATATAATAACAACTATAAAGACATTTTTTGAAAGAAGAAAACACTCTTATTCCTTCTCATTGCCAATTGACAATATTTTTGTGTTACCTTTCAGTTATGAATGAATACATAATTTATAAGGTTATAATAACAGGTACAATACCACTTTTTAAAAAATTATAAGCAACATTTTTCACGACATAATTTACATAATGATATTTTAGTATTTCTCTCATGTTTTAAAAAAGTCTTCTTTTGGTACCAAACTAAATTAAAAGAATTCTTTATTTTCCTATTTCGTTTATCAAAGGCACATGGAAATGCTAATTAGAGCATCTCATCAGCATCTGATAACTATGGGCAGTATGACCACTGGTTGACATTTAATTTGCTCATGCAGGCTAACTATGATTTATATTAGACTCTAGAACAGTCCATGCCGAAAGTAGTTTGCATTGCCTTATTATTATCCTTACAAATCTCTAAGTCCAGGAGCCCTGGGTTGGAACTTGAAGGATCACTTCTCACAGGGAATATTTCTGATGGAGAATAATCATTTTCTAAACCACTCAATCATTGTTTTGAACAACAATTGGAGATGATGCTGCAAACAGTATGATTTTAAAGTTTTGGCTCTGTTTTAACCTTACTATAGGAAAAAATAATCTTGGGGGTAGGCAGCTAAGAGTTAGAGGCAATTTTATTAATCAAGAGTTACTGAAAAATTCTAGGCCTATCTTAGTTTGCAGATGGTTACTACAAATTTGTTTACTGGCCAGGCACAGTGGCTCATACCTGTAATCCCAGCACTCTGAGAGGCCGAGGCAAGTGGATTGCTTGAGCTCGGGTGTTCAAGACCAGCCTGAGCAAGAGCAAGACCCCGTCTCTAAAAAGAGCTGGGCATTGTGGCGGGCGCCTGTAATCCCAGCTACTCAGGAGGCTGAGGCAAGAGGATTGCTCAAACCCAAGAGTTTGAGGTTGCTATGATGATGTCACAGTACTCTATTCAGGGCAACAGAGTGAGACTCTGTCTCAAAACAAACAAAAACAACAACAACAGAAAAGCCCCAAAAAACAAAAATCCAAAACTAAAAAGTTGTTTACTGAAGATGCACCTATATTTGTCACCCTTCTTTCTTTCTTCCCTTCCTTTCATTCTTTCTTTCTCCTTCTTTACTCTTTCCATTCTAGATTTGAGTTCCTAAACTATGCTGAACTAAGCACATTAATTCAGAAATGATTAGATTGAAACCCTTTTTAGAGTTTATTGGGATGGAAGGAAATGGGCTTTACCAGAAGCAAATAGATTCCCATTTCCAACAAGGCTCATAAATATATTCATTTCTACAGAGCATTTATCATTTTATTTCTAAATCTTCACTGAATTTCTAGACAATAAACCCAGAATATTATGATAATCTTAGCACTTTGTTTGTTTTATTGTAAGTTAACCTGTGTTCTCTTTTTTCCTGCTTCAATCATTTGCCTACACTCAGTCATCTCTATGGAAGAAGGTAAGAAATTGTATTTGGAAAAAAAACTCTTATTTCTAAAATCTCCTAGAAATTTCCTGTAGCTGTAAAACTTCGATTCAGTTCAGCAATTTATGAAGCTCTTTCTATGTACCTAGGAATGTGCTAGCCATTTATATCCTAATTTATAAAAGGCTGTCATTCAGAAGAATGCAGGCCAGGTGTATATGTCCTAACACTGAGAGGAATAAAGAAAAGAGAAGTAACATTTATTTGCAACCCCCCAATTTACCACAGCACATGGCAAGAACTCAATAAAAGTTGTGAAACTGATCAAATGTTTTGTTTCAACTGCTTTATATACACTATGTACAAATAACACTGGAGGGAAATTATTGTTTCCATTTTATAGAGGAAAAGATAGAAGTTCAGAGAAGATAAGAATAGTTTTCAGAAGTTACAAACAGTGGGATATGGATCCAAGCCTCTATCTGCCTGAAGGGCCCCTGCATCGGGAGCAAATGGGATGTTCAGTTATTACTCTTCCCCCCTTAGACCCCCACTTTCTTGATGACCCACAATATCAAATACACAGCACCCAAGCTTATGCATACACACATGCAAGAAGATGCTGTCTGCTTTCAGAGTGGGGAGAAAAGAGAGCAGAGCCGTCCCCTTCACTATCACCCTCATTTCATCCCTGAAATTGGAAAGGGAGAGCAAAGAACTACCAAAGAGGGACTTTCAAAAACTGATACATGAGCCCCTGGCTCCAGTCTGTGTCCCCCAAGGACAGGAGAGGTGTATGACATAGGCAGATGATAGCAGAAATGGGAACAGAAGGAGTTGGGATGGGGGACAAGTCCAGGGTGCCTGCTTCTGGGCTTATCAACCCAGGATCACAACCCAGTCCCCCTGCCTGGGCTGGGGATGCAGTGCTCTTGGAGGTTAATACAGCCACTGTCTTAGCGTGGGCTGCCATAGCAAGATACCACAGACTGGGTGTTTAAACAACAGATGATTATTTCTCATGGTCCCAAGATCATGGTTCCAGCAGGGCTGGTTTGCAGGTGAACACCTTCTTGCTGTGTGCTCACATGGCCTTTCCTCTGCACATGCTTGGAGAGGGAGAAGGAGGTCTCTACTGCCTCTTCCTCTTCTTTATTTTTTATTTTGGCATTTACAAAGAAATCATGTGCTATTTGATTAATATTTCAGGTGCAGTTTAGAAAGAAAGAGTCACCATATAAATGGTAGTTGAATTTTTTTTATTAAATCATTTATGGGGTAAAATGAGCTGATTTCATATAGAATTAGGAACACTTACATCATAGTGGTTAATTTATACCTCATCTCATTTACTTAATTATTGTGCTAAGACATTTATACTCTAAACTAATAGATCCGACATGTACCCCTGCATTATGCACCATAGGTGTGATCCCCCCATTTACCCTCCCTCGATCTGACCTCCCCCCTCCCCTTCCATCTCCCCCTCCTTCCTCCTTCATCTTGTGCCATAGTTGTGATCTATTCTTCATATGAAAGTGTGAGTGATTGTAAATTGGTTTCATAATAGTACTGAATACATTGGATATTTTTTCTTCCATTCTTGAAATACTTTCCTAAGTAGGATATGTTTCAGCTCCATACATGTAAACATAAAAGAGGTAAAGTCTCCATCTTTTTAAGGCTGCATAATATTCCATGGTATACATATACCACAATTTATTAATTCATTCATGGGTTGATGGGCACTTGGGCTTCTTCCATAACTTGGATATTATGAATTGAGGTGCAATGAGCAATCTGGTGCAAATATCTTTGTTATAAAGTGATTTTTGGTCTTTTGGATATACACCTAGTAGAGGAATCGCAGGATCGAACAGCAGGTCTACTTTTAGATCCCTGAGTATTCTCCATACTTCTTTCCAAAAGGGACGTATTTGCTCGCACTCCGACCAGCAGTGCAGAAGTGTTCCCTTTTCTCCACATCCATGCCAACATCTGTAGTTTTGGGATCTTGTTATGTGAGCCACTCTTATGGGAGTTAGATGATATCTCAAAGTGGCTTTGATTTGCATTTCTCTGATGATTAAAGATGATAAGCATTTTTTCATGTGTCTGTAGGCCATGTGCCTATCATCTTCAGAGAAGCTCTGTTCAAGTCTCTTGCCCACAATGAAATGGGATTACTTGTTCTTTTCTTATTAATAAGTTGAGTTCTCTTTGATTCTGATTATCAAACCTTTGTTGGAGACATAACCTACAAATATCCTCTCCCATTCTGAGGACTATCTGCTTGCTTTACTTACTGTTTCTTGGTTGTGCAGAAACTTTTTAGTTTGATCAGATCCCAGTAATGTATTTTTGGTGTTGTCCAGGGGTCCTCCTCATACAGTATTCTCCCAAGCCAATTTCAGCTGGTGACTTGTAGAAGCCTGAAACTGGACCCACACCTTTCACCACTGACAAAAAATCGGCTCTCGCTGGATAAAATATTTAAGCTTAAGACATGAAATGATAAAGATTCTTGGAGAGAGTGCAGGAGAAATGCCTCTTCCTCTTCTTATAAGGCCACCAGTCCTATTGAATCAGGGCCCCAGTCTTACAACCTCATTTAACCTTACTTACCTTCTTAGAGGCTCTATCTCCAAATATTGCCACACTGGGTGTCAGGGCTTCAACATATGGATATTATAGGGACACAGTTCAGTCCGTAACACCCACCCTAGCTGATAATGTGGAATTATTGATTTTGAGAGATCTCAGAATCACATATCCAAAAAATCAGGGCTTCTTGTCCTATTACTGGAGAATCATGCCTAATCTCTGTATCTTCATCTGTAAAGCAGAAATGACTGTAATTTGTAATTTTTGTTTGCCTTTTTAAAAACCTTCTAGTTATGTCCTGGAAACTAATGAACTCACTGTTGTTGTTGTAAATGGCTAATCTGAAAAACAATCTCTAAGTGAATACAAGGGAGAGAATAACGGTGCTATGTTCCTACCTCTATGACAGTGGTTCCAACCTTCCTAATGCCGTGACCTTTTAATACAGTTCTTGTGGGTTGCGACCCACAGGCTGAGAACCACTGCTGAGAATCATTGAGAACTGCTATGAGACAGTATTATTTCATAAAATTTTTCATATTTTATATTTCATTTAGAAATAGTAATTGATCTTGTGATTTTTTTTTTTTTAGAGACAGAGTCTTACTTTGTCACCTTTGGTAGAGTGCTGTGGCGTCACAGCTCACAGCAACCTCCAGCTCTTGGGCTTAGGCAATTCTCTTGCCTCAGCCTCCCGAGTAGCTGGGACTACAGGTGCCCACTAAAATGCCCAGCTATTTTTTTGTTGCAGTTTTGGCAGGGGCTGGGTTTGAACCCATCACCCTCAGTATATGGGGCTGGGGCCCTACTCACTGAGCCACACTGATTTTTTTTCTTAATTGTTGGGGAATCATTGAGGATGCAAAGAACCAGGTTACAATGCTTGCATTTGTTAGGTAACATCTCTCTTATAATTGTGTCCCGCCCCCAAGAGCTGTGTCACACACTGAGACCCTCCCTTCCCCTCCTTCCCTCTCTCTGCTCCACCATTTCCCCACCCCCCACCATGTACTAGGCCAGCAGTTCTCAACCTATGGGTCGCGACCCACAGGAACTGTATTAAAGGGCTGCGGCATTAGGAAGGTTGAGAACCACTGTACTAGGTCATCAATTGTCTCATACCAGAATTGAGTACATAGGATCCTTGCTTCTCCATTCTTGTGATGCTTTACTAAGAAGAATGTGTTTCAACTCCATCCAGGTTAATGGGGAGTGATGATGTGTTACTTCCCAATACTATAACTTATTATGCAGACTATACTTTGTGCTTTTGGAACATGTATAAGCATCATTTATTAAGCCACTCTTAGTTGAGCACCTGCGATGTGCTGGGCACTGTGCCAGGCACAAGATCTATAATGCTGAAAGGAAAAAAGGCATTTTTTTCAGAATGTATATTCAAACAAACTCAATTTAATCAATCACTTATCATTTATGTCCTATGTGCAAGACACTCTGTAAAGTTTGTGAAAACTATTAAGACAGTTCCTGCTTTCATGGAGCTCTCCAGGAGCACAAACAAGGCAAACACCCTACCGGTACAAAAGCAGAGTGGATGTGCCACAGCAGAGAGTTCTGGGTAGTAGGAAGAAAATGCCAGGCTGGTTCATTGCAGGGGCACTGATTTTTTAGTCCTGAGCGGGCAAATGGACCCTGAAGCATGACAGCCACAGGGAATAGTGTTAAGCAAAGGGACAGAGGCAGAACCATGGTGTCACTCTGCTCTAATGGTAGCAGAAGATATGTGAAGGGCAGCAGTGGGCAACGAACTTCCAAGTTGGGTTTGAGCTTGTACAGGATTTGAGTGTCAAGATAGGTAGTTTTAAAAGTTATATTCCTTTATTCTCTTACATGCCCTTCAGTTAAAGGTAAAAATAATTAACATTTATGAGCACTTACCGATTGCCTGAGCTTTTCATGATTTATCTCAATTCTATTCGATGTGGTAGGCACTATTACCATCCTCATTTACAGGAAGAGAACAGAGGCTTAGAGATAACCTACTTTGTCCAGCATTCAAAAGCCTACACTTTTTGTCAGGCACAGCAGGGGGTGCCTGTAGTCCCAGCTACTTGGCAGGTGGAGGTAGGAGGATCACTTAGGTACAGTGAGCTGTGATCACACCTATGAACAGCCGCTGAATGGTAGCCTGGGGGAGATAGCAAGACCTCGACTCTAAAAAAAATTTAGAGGACTATGCTTTTTCATTTTGAACCATTTTGTTACATAACCTCCCAAATCATGCATTTTCATTTAATATAGTAGTCCTTTCTATCTTGCCAAATGAGCAATAGTTGTAAGAGCAACATTATTGTCAGATGGTCTGAGTTCTCTTGACAAGAAGTTGTACATAGGGAATTTTGTTTTGAATCTGGACACAGTTGAAAAGTTCTATCTTTCCATTTCTATGTTCTTTTATAGAAGATGACATGAAGATTGATGAGAAATGTGTGGAAGCAGGTAACATTTCCTCTTGGTTGATTTACCACCAGAAGAAATATGAAGCACCTCAGCTATAGATGATCAGAACCAGAGTCGGCCAACGGGGGGCCCTGGGCATTTCCTCTGGAAGAAATGTGTAAAATGACCCTCCCACCTCCATCCTTTTTCTATGTTTCTGACACTTGGAAGAAGTGGTGAGAATGCCGCTAGCCTCCCACTGACCTACTAGAAAATGTTCTGGAAAACACTATCTTGGCAATGATGTCAGGAACACTTACTAATGCTCAGCATATCAGATGATGGAACATCTGGAATCCCCAGTGCTTCTCATGGACTATCATAAAATATTGAAATACCAATTTTTTTTTTTTTTTGAGACAGAGCTGTCACCCTGGGTAGAGTGCTATGGCATCACAGCTCACAGCAACCTCAAACTCTTGGGCTTAAGTGATTTTCTTGTTCAGCCTCCTGAGTAGCTGGGAATAAAGGTGGCTGCCACAACGCCCAGCTATTTGTTGTTGTTGTTGCAGTTGTCATTGTTTAGCAGGCCTGGGCCAGGTTCAAACCCTCCAGCCTTGGTGTATGTGGCCAGAGCCCTACCCACTGAGCTATGGGTACCTCCAGAATACGAATTTTTTTATAAAGTAAAATAATTTGTTATTAAGTTTGATGCCATCTTCTGGTGGGTTCTAGTATAGATAGTAGTAAATTCCAATTTTTTGAGAACTATATGAAAGCTTTTTACCTTTTTATACTTCCTTTTCTTTTGTAAATTAGGAAAAAATTTTCAAATTAATTGACAGAGCTAAATCAGGGCTAATCTGATTTTTAGAAATGAAAGAACAATATGAAATTTTAAAATAATGGGTATTTCAAAGACTAACATATATCTCCTGTAACAACTGCAGAGTAACATTGATGCTACTTTACCAATAGCATATGTTTATTTGTCTGAACTTGCAGTGACATTCATTTCCTTTCTACAATTTGAATTATAATCTTATTAGGTAATATATTCACATAGTTGAAAAATTTAAAGCCACAAAAGGCTATTTAGTAAGAAGTTCCTTTCTTTTTTTTTTTTTGAGACAGAGCCTCAAGCTGTCCCCCTGGGTAGAGTGCCGTGGCATTACAGCTCACAGCAACCTCCAACTCCTGGGCTCAAGCGAGTCTCCTGCCTCAGCCTCCCCAGTAGCTGGGACTACAGGCGCCCACCACAGTGCCCGGCCATTTTTTTTGGTTGCAGCCATTGTTGTTTGGCGGGCCCGGGGTGGGGATTCGAACCCGCCACCTTAGGTTGAGCTATAGGCGCTGAGCCAAGAAGTTCCTTTCTTACCTCGTTCTCCTACTCAGTTTTCTTTCCTGAGGGAAGAAAAGTTATCAGTTTATTTGGTATCCCTCCAGACAGGTTCTGTGCATATAAAAGCAATCTTTATGTATTTCTCCTCTCTTCCTCCTCATCCCCACCTTTCCCTTCATATACCCTTTGATGGTACGTCATACACACTTCTGTTCCTGCCCTTTTAACTTGCCTTATACATCGTGTGGATGATTCTGTACAGACAGAACCTCCTCTTCTTTATTATGAAGAGCTTATTGGTTTTTGCACACTTCATGCAGTTGACTATTTGCAGACATTTATGTCTGATTTTTTCTATTATAAGCAGTGCTACAGTGAATAGCTTTATAAAAATTTCCTTTCACACCTGTGTGGATACACCTTAGATGCAGCATTGCCTGATCCAAGGGTGCACATTTTGGAAATGCTCAAATTGCCTCCCATAAAAATTCTGGTTTCTTAATCCTTAATCTCTTTGTAAAGTCCTAACAGTAATTGTTTTAACTAATGAGGAAGTTTATTTATTTCATATGTTTCTCAGCTGCCTGAACACACCTGCTCCCTCAGCCCTTTCTGTGCTTGGTCTCTTTGCCCCACTGCCCTTGCTGTGGACCCCCAGCCCCACTCACCTATGTCTGCAGGCTCTTCAGCAGCAAAACTGTGCCATATGCAACAGACTATATGCGTTTCCCATAACATTCCCCTTCCCTCTGAGCCTCTTTTTAAATTTCATCTTATTTATTTTCTTCTCTTATTTTATTTACTTATTTTAAGCTCCAGCTGTACCCCCAATTGTCATTATAGTACAACATACAATACCATGTGTCTCCATCAAGACTTACATTATGTCATAGGAACACCAATGACTTGGCCTTGATTTAGGAAAAAAATTTTAAAGGTGGTGGGTGGGCAGAAGCATAGGCCAGGGAATTAGATGATTAAAATATAGACTCAGCATAGATAATAATGTAATGACATTCTTGGTTTTTGCCTCCATGGAAAATGATAGATGAAGAAATATTTGAATCTGGTAAGTAAAAAATGAATATTTGGTACCATTTTTTAAATATATATTGCACATTTCAGTACAATTTGAACACATATTTAGAGTTATGATACAATAATTATTTAAATACATCAATAGTAAAAAAAAATTAAAATTGAAAAGTAACTACGTAGATGATAGATACGTTACTTTGCTTCATGCTGGTAGCCATTTTACTATCTCTATATATCCACAACATCATGTTGTCAATGTCAAACATGCATGATAAAATTTATTTTAAAACAACACAGCAACAGTACTATTAAGAGATACTGTAACTAGTGCTTTTCATAGGGCCAGTACTGTTCCTGAGGCAGCATTTCTGGGACTTGGTGGGGGGCATTTTGGTTGTCACATTGATGGGAGCAGTACTGGCTTTTAACTGGTAGGAATCAGGACTGGTAGCTGTTCTATGGTGCATGAGACTGTCCTACACAATGAAGAATTGTCTCTAGACCCAAGTACTTTCTGCATGTCCTGCTGGACAAAACTCATTACACATATAAATGAGTAGTTCTTTAATATACAGCAAATTTCCATAAGATAAAAATTAAAAAGCTCAGTGGTTTAGAAGACAGTCATGGAGAGAGTCATTCAAACAGAACAGACATTGCTTTGCAATTATTGAATAATTTATTCTACACATTCTGTCCCATTTTTAAAATTTTGGGTTAATAGTAGAGTACATAGGATTGGGACACATTATTTGCATTTGTAAAGTCAGGTGCGAACTTACATCCACCATGTTGATAGTAAATAAACTGCTAAGTGTGGAATCTATACTGAATTAATTATCTTTTTCCTGGCTGGGTGTGGTGGCTCACACCTGTAATCCTAGCACTCTTGGAGGCCTGAGAAGGAGGATTGCTTGAGCTCAGGAGTTTGAGACCAGCCTGAACAAGAGTGATCCCATCTCTACTAACAATAGAAGGCACCTGTAGTCCCAGCTATTTGGAAGGCTGGGGCAGGAGGATTGCTTGAACCCCCTGTTTGAGTTTACTGTGAGCTGGGCAGACACCATGGCACTCTAGCCTGAGCAACACAGTGAGACTTCATCTCAAAAAAATTTTTTTCTTTTTCTTTAATACATTATTTGTTATTGATGACACATGGGAAGTATCAAATGTCTATCCCTCAAAATAATGTTGACATCATTAGCAACAATTCCCACCGAGTATTTTTTTAAAACTGCCAACCTACTGAGGCATATTAACATTATTCACCTGATTCCAAGTATCTTTCCTCTTTTTCTCCATTTCATTGGTTTCTAATTGCTTTGTCAGATTATCCCTACCTCAATTAAGGCAACTTTCATCTTTCTCTTACTGTGTACAAGGAAATCTGATTTGCTATTACTTTTTAATTCTAGTCACTAGTTCTTTTCCTCTTCTGTTTTTCGATACCTCATATAAAGAATATTTTCTGACCATCTCAGTTTCCTTAAATCTCTGCTTCTTCATTATCAGTAGGTATAATAAGTACCTAGCAGTTTTTTATGTCTTCTAGAGATGCCATACCTGAGGATTTATATTTCAACAGACATAATTTTATTTTATTTTATTACTATTTTTTTTTTTTTAGAGACAGAATCTCACTTTGTTGCCCTCGGTAGAGTGCCGAGTCACAGCTCACAGCAACCTCCAGCTATTGGGCTTAGGTGATTCTCTTGCCTCAGCCTCCCAAGTAGCTGGGACTACAGGCGCCTGCCACAACACCTGGCTAGACATACATAATTTTAAAATACGTTACTCTTTATTTTTCCTCTTTATTACAATTAGAGCACTGCATTGATTTTTAAAATTATGTGTACAGTAGATTACACCATCTATAAATTTCTTAAGAGTAGAGAGACTATTACAAATATTAGTTGTAAAACAACATAGCATTGAAACATGACTTAGGTGCTACTCACCTCAATTACATACTTAACATTTATGTTGTTTTATTTTTTTTCTTTATTTTTGTTTTTGCTTGAGACAGAGTCTCACTTTGTCACTCTGGATAGAGTGCCATGGTATCATAGGTCACAGCTATCTCAAACTACTGGGCTCAAGAGATCCTCTTGCCGCAGCCTCCTGAGTAGCTAGGATGATAGGTGCCCGCCACTACACCTGGCTAGTTTTTTTCTATTTTAGTAGAGATAGGGTCTTGCTCTAGCTCTGGCTGGTCTCAAACTTCTGAATTCAGGCAATCCACCCACCTTAGCCTCCCAGAGTGTTAGAATTACAGGCATGAATATTGCCCTTGGCCTATCTAGTTTCTAAACTTTCTATTTTTTCATTACATGGTTGGCCTGTTTGGGATAATTTAATTATACTTGCTCAATGTTTGGGATGGGTTTAGTTTTTAATTCACAGATTATCCTCATCCTTCTTTGCTCTATTCATCTCATCAGTTTGCTGGAAAACACTCCAGCTATGGAATGGGGGAGTGCTAAGGCTGTGGTTGAGACCCAGGGGTATTTGCAGGGTCTGTGATAGGAGAGGCCATGTGGTGGGGTGGGCAAGACTTGAGCAAGATTACCCAAGTGCAACAATAATTGAGTCCATTTCTCTCTAGCTGGATCCTCTGGCACTCAACCTCTCTGCCTTTCAGGTAGAGAATAGTAATACAGAAGTAAAGGCCTTAGAATGGTCACACAGTAAGGGCTACACAAGCATTAGCTGGAGTTACCTTGAAATCCTGTTCTTTGGGGGCAGCAGCAGCTGGTTCTCTAAGACTAGCACTCAGGGGGGAGTGTGCAGCTGTTCTTACCTGCTATAAAGCACTCCTCTCAGCTGAAAGAGAACTCTCAAGTATGTTCCGAATCCAGCTCTAGGAGCTCAATTAAGAAACATCGCCCAGAAGGCTTATCTTCTAAACAGACAACCCTTGACATTCATTCATGATGCTTCATTCTCTTACTTAGACCACTTAGTGGGCAGTTAAGGTTCTTTAGTTCTGGTCTATACTCTGAATGAAGCATAATGTGGCTTCCTTGGATTTCTCCAGGAGGTAACAGTGTAGTTTATTTCATTAGGAATGACATTTTTAAAAAAGTACCCAGAGAATACGGCTGTTCCAAAATATCCAGAAACCTAAGAAAATAGTCTACTTCGTATTTGGTTTTCCCATCTTCAAGGGGACAGCTGGAGATGGAAGTGTGTGCATTAGACCCAGAAAGGGAAAGGAATGGGTCACTAAGGCCCAAGCTTCTGCTGCAGCGTCTACCCCAGTGTCATTTCTACCATGTCATCCTCTTTCCAGAGTTGCAGCAACACGTCCTCCAGAACATGTTTATAATTTTTCTCTTTCAAGCCCCATTTTGTGTCAACCAAGTAGAGTCTTCCTGGACAAAAAACCTTCAGGGAGAGTTTTTCTGATTTGTTTTGTTTTTTGAAAACAGAGTCTCACTCTGTCACCCTGGGTAGAGTGCTGTGGCATCAGCTTAACTCACAGCGACCTCACATTCTGAGTTCAAGTGATCCTCCTGCCTCAGCCTTCCCAGTAGCTGGGACTACAGGTGCCTGCCATGACTCCTGGCTAATTTTTCTATTTTTAGTAGAGACAAGGTCTCTCTCTTGCTCAGACTGGTCTCAAACTCCTGAATCCCCATGATCCTCCTGCCTCTGCCTCTGAGAGTGCCATGATTACAGGTGTGAGCCACTGTGCCCAGCCAGGAAGGCAACTTGCAGAAAAAATTATTGTGCCAGAGCAACAGAGGCAGGTCAAATCAGTTTCCAAGTTCCCGATGGTGAGCTATTCATTTTCCTTGCCAAACTTTACCTAAGTTACAGCTATTGCTGATGGTAACAGAATTGCCTCGCTTATGTCATTTGCCTTGATTTGATGGCTAACTTGATCTTCTCAAAGACTTACCTTTTTCATGTCTGTTTTTGCATTTACCCAAATATCCAGAGGAACTTTCAGAAGGTAATTTTTTGTTTTTATTTCCTGGATATGCCAAATCAAGCTAAGTTTAAAATCTTTCAGTGCCCCAAGATGAACATTTGATAGGGTAACTTCTGAGGTGGAGATATATTTTATGAGTGAAATCAATGATTACATAGTCAATTTCATAAAAAACAATTTAAATGAGCAATTAATCCTTCTGACTCTATCTCTGCCATTTCCTTTTTAAATTACTGACATATCTTAGTTAGAAAACGTACTTCCATACCAGAAAATGGAATTGATAATAGTGTGATTTTTTGGTATTTCTTGGAAAAGTTTAAGAAAAAAAAGGTGCATGCCAGTTCACTTTATGAACAAATGCTACTTACATATTGTTTCAATGATCGGAACAGACTTGTATAAATAATGAGGAACTTAAGTAAAAACAAATTTGAAAATGACAATGTTTATATCAATTTTTCTGGGGCCTCCAACAGGAGCAGACATAGGAATTGGAACTGCTAGTTCCAGATGCTTCAGAGCTAGCCGGCTCCCTGTGTTTCTCAGGTCCCTGGCTAATCAGAAACAACTGGTAGCTGTAGAGCAAATACTAATTTTAATAGAATGAACCATTTAAAAGGGGAAAAAAAATAAAAACCCATATCTAGCTAAGAGATGAATATAGGACCTGCAGAAACATGATCTCTACCAGTTAAAGACAAAAATCAGTTTTCTAGACAGACTACATTCCGTGTAATGCTAAAATTCTGTAAAGTGTCTCTCTATAGTTTGTTGTATGTGAATAATAGGATAGAAAGTGCTTAGAACATTCTTCAATAAGCCACTCAAGGATAAATTCAACTGTGCCATCACCTACTGAAGCACTGTCACTTGGAAATTTGAAGATGATTTCATGCATTTATTCTAAGTAAACTGCTCCTTGCCCTCACATATTCTGTTCTCTGTGTTCCAGACAAGGACGAATTTGTTGGCTATGGTCAGAAGTTCTTTATTGGTAGGTGATGATTAATAAGACGCAGGTCTTTCTCACTTGCTAAGTTATCTTTGTACCAGTCTGATGCTCTTCTGAAAGCTTCCTTTGCTGATGAACATTTTCCAATGCATTCCTTGTCCTCGTCTGCCTCTGCCCATTTTGGAGGTCAACATTCTGATCTGTTGATCATTCATTGTTATTCATATAATTTCCACTGGGTATCTCTTAATTACTCATCAAGCACAATTTTTTTGTTTTTTTCCAGACTGTTCCATAACCTTGTTGTCTTACTCTAAAGAGACCAGTTCTCTGTCTACCTAAGCTCACTATTTATGGCCACATTTCTATAATCTGACACCTGGTCAGAGCTTTCTGAAGGACCAGGCACCACTCATGTAAAACCACTCTAGGCTGCCTGTTTCAGGGAGGCAGGGAGAACAGAAGAGCTGCAGGGGCTGCAAACTAGAAGGTTGGATCCCAAGCCTGGATGCACTTTGGAATCACTGGGGCTATTTTTCTGCATTGCTTCCAGAATCATTCAGCTCAAAAGCCATTGGGTAGGGCTGAGCAGGGTAGGCAGCTGCATGTGGGTGGGGACTGAGGATTGTGGGATGGGACATCAGAGTCTGAGTAGGCTGAAAGGGGCATCTGTGTAGGGGACGATGGTGGCCTGTGCAGGTTGTCAGAGCCAGAGTAAAGTAAGGAGGGCGGCTGCCATTTCTTGGTATCTGATAGCTCACAGACTCATTTAGCATGGGCTCTAACACCCTGCCAGGCTGCCAGCACTGTCTGGCCCTCTTCCTGTCCAGGTGCTCTTAATTAATATAATAGTTGAATGTTTTGAGGACAAAAGCCAGGGCTTTCACTGTTAGAGAAAGTGGTTACAAATATGGAAAGGGGAAGACTCAAATGAACCATGTAATGTTGGATTGGCATTGGGGGTATTGGTGGGAACTCAGGGTTTTCAATATATATAGATGCAATATATTAATAGATGTGTGAGCATGCATTTATACATACACATGCAGTTCTAGCTCTGCCTATTGAGAGGACCTGGCAACACTTCTGAAAATACCAGAAAGCCCTATGATTGGAAAGACAGATTAAGCAGGAGTCTAAAGCTTCAGAATCATGATTAAGATGGTCTAACTGATCACAGTCCTAAGCAACCCCTTAATCTGTCTATGTCTTAGCGTATCCATCTCAAAAATGTGAATAATGAGCCTAATCTACATCCAGACTACTGCAGTAGATTCCTAACTGCTCCCCCCTCAGACTACACTTACTCCCCTTACCCTTTACATCCTCTTCACAGCAATCAGAGGAGTCCTTCAGAAACAAGAATGAAATTATGCCTCCCTCCCATCCCCCTCCAGGCCAGGTTTCTCCTCCGTGGAAGGCCTCCATAATCCACCACTTTGCAGAGGCCCGCATGGTGGGGCTCCAGCTGCCTCTCCAACCCCACGTCCTATCACACCCCCTACTGATCACTGCCTTACAGATTTTCCTCAGACATTCCCAGCACAGTCCATTTCTCTGCACCTTTGCATTGCCCTTCCCTCAGCCTGGCTTGCTCTTCCCAGCAGAGGCATCCTTAGCTGGTTCCACTGTTTCATTCAGAAGTCTGTTCAATGCCTACTATTTGCAGAGACAGTCTACTCACACAGCCTGCCTGAAAAAGTGCCCAGATCACTCTCTAGCCACTCACTCTTCCTCTAAGCACTTTTTTTTTTGTTTATTTTTTCTTCTATGCGAAATGTAAATTTCATGAGGAAGTGGTCTTGGATGAGTTGCCCGCTCTGTCTCCAGTACAATGCCTGGCATGTAGTGGGTACAGGATACACCTTAGAGATAACCCTGGGGAATTTTGTTATTTTCCCTTCATATGGTTTCTTATCTTCTAATTCCAGAGAGATACAATTATTTTATTTATTTATTTTTAGAGACAGTCTCACTTTGTCACCCTCTGTAGGGTGCGGTGCTGTCACAGCTCACAGCAACCTCCAGCTGTTGGGCTTAGGTGATTAGCTTGCCTCAGCCTCCCAAGTAGCTGGGATTACAGGCGGCCACCACAACGCCCAGCTATTTTTTGTTGCAGTGTGGCCGGGGCCGGGTTTGAACCCGCCACCCTCAGTATATGGGGTTGGCGCCTTACTCATTGAGCCACAGGCGCTGCCCTAGATACGATTATTTTAATAAACACTTAGGATCATGGTTGCTACATGTTTTGTAAATTGAAAGCAAGAAGGAATCTCTCCTGCCCTAGATCTTACATTTTGTGCGTGTCCCCTTTCCAGCTGGTTTCCGTCGCAGCATGCGCCTTTGTCGCAGGAAGTCTCACCTCGGCCAGCAGCGGGCCAGCGTGTGCTGCACCGGCAGCTGCTACAGTGCGGTGGGTGCCCCTTACGAGGAGGTGGTGCGGTACCAGCGACGCCCTGCAGACAAGCATCGCCTCATAGTGCTCATGGGTGCGTCCCAGCACTGTTCCTCTCTATCCTTGGCAAATTCTTCTAGATTCAATTGCTTTGGATTGGAAGTAGTGGGAAATGTAGAACTCTTTCATGGACCGTCATATAAATATGTTTTTTTTTTTTTTAAAAATCCCATTTATGTGTAAGTAAAACTTGACTGTATGAAACTTTTTTTTGTCTATAATCGAATGTGGTATGCCATACTGTGGGAACTTACATAATTTGTATTATGATGAGGATATAACTGAGGCTCTTTTTTTCCCGTTTAGAATTCTTTCTGTAAACATAGATGAATTCCCTTAGACTGGATCATTAGTCTGTATCACGAAAATAAATCCTTAAATTCCATTTCCCTGGGAAATAGATGACCATCTCTTTTTGCCGTTTTTGGCAGGGGCTGGGTTTTGAACCCACCACCTCCGGCATATGGGGCCGGTGCCCTACTCCTCTGAGCCACAGGTGCCGCCCCATGACCATCTCTTTTTGAAAAGTGACTAAAATCTTCTGGACTGTACCTTTGATGCTAAAAATCAGGACAAATACAGTATTGGGATCACCTGCTTTTGTGACCAAGACCCCTCAAAGCTGGTGCTCTCTGCAGCAATATCACCTTATATCTTACTGCCATCTTGTCTGTGTGTTCAGCTATGAGCAGGACAACCATGCCTTACTGCTGGCACCTACTACATCATTTGCAGAACCCAGTGGAAAGTGAAAATACATGGCCTCTTGTTCAAAAATTGTTAAGGATTTCAAGGTGCAATAGGAGAGTTGGTGTCCATTTAAGCACAGGTCCTGTGTAAATGCACAGGGACTATGCCGATGATGTCAGCCCCTCCTGGGGAAACGGGGGTGCTGATTAAATCACCTATCAGAAATGTGCCCCTAAATTCTGGTTGTCAAGGCTGATTTCTGGTCATGATATCAAAGATCCTTCATTTGAAGAAAGAAGGCGGATCTCTCAGATTATCTAAAATGAGACCAGCCGATCCTCATGGCACCCAACATTAGACGAAGTTTGCTGGGGTGACAGGTTCCTACAATTCCTTACCTTATTTCTGAATGTTGAAGCAATGTGGGTTGCTCAATGGGTCATGAGTAAGATTCCCAAGAGTTTTCTAGGGTTGCTCCAATTCATGAGAAAGGAAGTTATATTATTTTCCTAAAATCATTTGCTCCCAAGTTTCTTCCATAGAGAAATTGAGATAATGAGTTCGTCACATGATTAGATTTATCCACATCTAATGATTTCTGTATGTGACTTTTTGTTTAGGACCTTCTGGTGTTGGAGTCAATGAACTGAGAAGACAACTTATTGAATTTAATCCCAGCCGTTTTCAAAGTGCTGTGCCACGTATGTTTTATTTTCCTTTCATAGCGGTTCATATTTTGGCAAAACTTTCTTTGCCTCTTCAAATGTACTGATCTCACTTAATATGTCATATCAGCTTTGATGTAAAAATAGAAGACACAGGGATAGTCATTAAGTA